ACACAATTCATAGTTAGACCACTGAATTTTGATCAAGCAACAATGAGAACAGTCAATGAAATATACACTCATTACATACCACCTGTAGCACCACATCAACTATACCTATCAAATGACGGGAAGTTAATTATGCAATACTCATGATGTTATTAATTATGAGATGCAATGCAGTATTAGTGATTAATAGGTTAGCTGTTGTTACAAAATAAATGGATTCTTCTGAATCGGTATCGTTACTTTTTTTGGCTTTTGTGATATTGTCAACACTCCCAGACTCTCACCATAATTATTGCCGTACCAAACTGCAATCAAATGAAATAATGACACACGACAACGCAAACATTCATTTAAGGAAGTGAATTCAAAAATGCATATTACATCACATAAACGAAAATATTACATAAATTCAAAGTTACATCGATGAAGTAACGTTGAGATTGTTAACAGAAAAAATTGATACCAAGAAGTTCAACGCCTTCACTTATCGGTCGAAATACACGATAATATACACAACCATTGTACTGGAACGCTATTAAATTTTGTTCATTTTCAACTGAAATTAACCATTTCAATTAATACATTAACAAGAGGCGCTTCTGAAGATGTCATAACATCGCAACGTTGGATATTAGCAGAATATTTCTTACTGCGGAGGTAATATGACATCACATAAGTAATCTATTACTATTGCTTCATCCAAATTGACAGTTCGATAACTTTGTAAATATGTTGAATTATGATACTATTATCGAAATGTGACATTTATTTGATCTATTATAACGACTAACACTCTTTAATCATTTCCGACTGAACCCATTCCTTGCTCCACAACTGAGCTAATCGATATAACAAATCAGAGTAAAGCGATAAGACAACGAAACGTACACCGTGAACTATTGATGAAACGCATCCAATTCGAATAGTTCTGATCTGATCCATCGATATACTGAGGCAGTGCACCAGCTATTCGTATCTCCCATGCATATCCATGCTGATCCGCTTTCTTCGCATCACTTAATAACACACCTTCAACACACACATCTATTCAATCAAGCACTATTTCAACCGCAAATTAAACGCAAACGCACTAATTGAGCTACCAATTAACGCTCGGATATTGTATTTATACTTGATAACAATGAATAAAACATCCGATCGGAATGCAGTATGCCACAGGCCCGAACCGCACCCACGGGCGAAAATTTTGCTCGAAATCGAACAACATACATGATAATGTTTATAGCAATCGAACTTGAATGTGGTAATGAGGTGCCTTATAACTAATTATACTTGATTAAGATTAGCATAATTCTGAGAGTCGCACCTTGATAAGGACCAAAGACAAGTCCAGTAGGGATGTCCATTTTAGCGAATACGCCCAATCCGGCTTTTGGTATTTTGGACGTTCTGATCTCAAAGAATGCCGGCAACGTTTGTTCAGCTCGTGGCTTATTATCCTCACGAACCTAAATCAAAAACGAATAAAACAATCAAAATATCGCATAATATCTAAACGAACAACAATCACGAACAATCACCGAAATCAACAAAACAAATGAAAATTTCAATTCACCTCTCGATCACTAA